CCTGCTGATCAGGAATATACAGTACTGTATCTGTCTTCATATTCAATGACTCCTCCCTGTTCATTCTATGTACTCACTCCTTGCCTCCAGGAAGATCCTGAGTGCTTCTGGATCCACCTTCCTTCGGTTAGGAGCTTCCAGTTCTGACTCATCCCATGGCACAAGGGCCGGGTTGGCCCCGTGGTCCAGCAGGAGGTGGATGAAGGCCACCTCACATCCATGTCGCAGTACCGCATCCAGCAGGCAGGAAGCCAGGCCGCGTGTCAGAGCCTCATGGCAGACAGGCCCGGTGTAGTTGAAGTCGGGCTGTGCACCGGCCTGGAGCAGCAGCCGGAAACAGTGGAGGTGGTGGTAAGCAGCACTGATGTAGAGAGGACACACCACCAAAGTGTTGAGGGTGCGGGCACTTAAGAGGAGCCGGGGACCCAGCTGGTGGTCCATGTCTACATCAGCATTGAACCTGGACAAAGAGAAACATGTAGACAGTTTAGGTTTCTCTAAAATCCTGATACTGGTTGACTGTAGAGATGTGATTCTTTAACTACACATTTATGGGCCAAATTTAAGCCAATATATTGTGCAAGGTATGAAAATTGTGGGTAAAATGGGCAATGTCAGAAAGTCATGAGTCAGCGTGACCACTGTCCCATGTGGGTTGCTGTTGTTGACTGAAGGGACCCCATGATTAAAATGTTTGTTTTGAGCACTATGGGAAAGATGAACAAAGTCAGGAAATAACCAAACATTAGCCTGAGGCAGTGGAAAAGACTGCATCACACAGCTAGATCAAAATGCTGACCCTTAGACAATCTACTGCATAAATAACAAATAAAACTTACAGTGCATTAAATACGCTTAGAAGTAAAAAAGTATATAAGTAAAGTTGGAGGTGACAAAGGAGACGCGTTCACCCGCTTTCAGTACTGGGAGAAAGGATAAGACAACTACATTTTAATTTACCATGTAAAGCTATTCATTCAACACATATATGAGAAGGAAGAAAAATCTATTTCTATGTTTGTTTACCACAACTGCAGTCCATAAGTGAAGTACAGACGGGTACCACTGAGACTGTCGTCAACAGATGTACCTGATGAGCTCCTGCAGTATGTCCAGTCTTCCCACCCGCGCAGCATGGTACAGTGGGGTGCTGCGGTGGTGTCGGCTTCCATTTGGATCCGCTCCAGCTTCGAGGAGTATCCGGACACAGTCCAGGTGGCCATTAACCACAGCTACATAGAGGGCTGTTTGGCCTTTGACATCAACGAGGTCCACCTCGGCTCCCTGAGCGATGAGATAGGCCACACAGGCGGCGTGTCCTGCTGTGGCTGCGATCCGCAGAGGGGTGCAGGGCAGACAGCCACAGCACCACACAGACTTCTCATTGATACGCCTGGCACCCAGGGAGAGATGTGAGTGGGTATTAGCAGAGTCTCTTGATCCATCACACTAGATTTGTCACACTTCTGTCATGTTTGTGTTGAACAACAGCAGGTCAGTGACCACAAAAAGACATTAACTCACCAAAGTCTAAAAATGTCACTGTTGTGTGGTCAACACACTGAATACATATTGGCACCCCTTCATTTCTGTCAGATAACACATCACTTCTCCCAGAAAACTGTTGTCATCACAAATTCCTTGGTATTTTCAGGTTTATTTTTTTTGTTTGCATCAGAACGAGACAAAAAAGCTGAAAAAAAAAGCCAAATCTGATACATTCGACACAGAACTCCAAAAATGGACTGGACAGCATTACTGACACCCTGGACTTAATATTTGGTAGCACACCCTTTGGACACAAAGAACAAATCAGATTTTGGCTATTTTTTTCTCCTGCATGACCCTCCCCACGTCTCGCAGTGTGACATCTTATTAGTGCGACATGTTAACCAACACATATATACAAATAAAATAACCAATTCCGCCCATAACATACCTGTAGGATAGACTGTGAATCAACCGTCACCTATGGGAGAGCATGTAGCAAACCCGCTTACAATATATGAAGGCATTAAACTTAGTAAGCATTTTGCACAGCAACAAAATCTAACAACATGCAGTCAGCTCAGCAAAGGAGGAGCACAGGACACAGGTCAACAACAAACAGAGGGAGATCAAACCAAACCCTCCAGTTACACAATGACTACTGACAATATAAACTACTGCAGTAGTGGCAGTGGAGCTGAATTCCCACCCCTTCATCACACTCCTCACCTTCTGAAGCTGTCTTCCTGCAGCAGGTTCCTCACGGTGTCCAGATCTCCGGCGTAGGCTGCGTTATGGAGGCGCATGTCATCCTGGTCCAGAGGTTTGTCGCAGAACTGCTCCTGAAGCCATTCCTTCAGGTTACGGCCTGATGAAAACAGATTTAGGAATAAATCATCACTAGTAATGTTATTAGTACCAGGTTCAAATCCTAGCGAGAGTATATGGCCTCATCGCTCTTTCTTGCCCAAAACTGTACTTTACTGTTGCTACTTGCAATAATAAGCCATTCAATACTTAATTAAAAGACTTCCTGAAATGATATATGCCTTTGTGTGGTTTACTTTTTTCAAATGCATGAATACTTCCTTTTGAAACATTGAAATTGTTTTAGTTTAGCTGTAATGAACTATAACTATATTATGCAAGAAAGTGCGACTGCTAACACAACTTAAAGTCCTTTCCAGCAACTTATGGAAATTGGATGATCATTTGTCAGTTTTAAGATGTATTTTGTGAACCTGAAAACAAGAGAAATTTTAGATTTCTCTGCCCAATCTTCCAGACACTGCTAAAATCACAGTTATTATTTTGTGGAGTAAACAAACTGGAAAGTCTGGACTGCACAAACCACACAATAGTTCACCCAATTATTTGGAGTCAACATAATGAAGTTGAACATTTTTCCACAGTACTGCTCCTACAGGCAACTACATTTGGAATCTATTCTTGGCATCTCACACACTGTCACATACAGTATCTTCTAGGGGGCAGTATCTCAAGAACTAGTAAGAACAAAACCTGGCAAAGTAAAACCATTTCTATCTATGTGATCTGATCAGTGTGTCACACCTCACCACTCACTGCCAACAGGGACAGTAACCACACTAGGTCTATATTTAACCCCAGCCTGTAAGCCAGACTGAACAGCTGATAGGTAGGTAGGTAGCTGGCTGTTCAGGCAGTGGCCACTCACAGGTGATTTTAATTGCACATCAGACACAATAACAACAAAAAGGCAGATGAAACTACAAGAAATATTCCAGTCACTGTGACTTTCATATCTGCAAACCATGTATAGTACAGCACGGTCCCAATAAGAAGCTAACATCAATGCTATGACGTCCCAACAGGGGGAAGCTAACATCAATGCTATGACGTCCCATTATCTGGCTCACACATGAACACAGAGATCATCACTAAATCATGTTAATCACAGTTATAGACAGACCCAGTGTTACTGGCCATGCACCACTGGCAGCAGCCATAAACAACAATGCTCATGGGGCTCACAATATGAACACAAACTGTAATGATAGTATGCCATCATATTTATAATGTAGGTTATTTTACTACAAAAGGCAATGTGAGATCTTCTACGGGCGCGCTCACGCACACAGTGGTCACACAAAGTGGCCGTGGCTGCATTTGGAGCTCGGCCCCTCCCTTATATGTTGCATGGTGTTCCTATTATTGTGTCCACCCTTTGAAAAACATAGTCTATGCTCAGAGCTCTTGTGGTCATCGTCCTCGTCCAATCGACCTGAGCCGTATCATCTGTAGAAACACAGATGAAGTGTTGACAACACCGGAACCTTATCACAGCTCTGTAACTTGAGATGTCAACCCACAGGCCACACCTTGGTTCACAGGAGTCGCCCTCAACGTCAGCACATCTAATATTGTTGCCATGCTTGTGTCGACTTTCCTCCTAAACGCTGCCCTTGGAGGACAACGGTTACCTGCAGCAGTAGCACCGGGCAGATCGGAAACAGTGATGAGAGGAGGGAAACTGATACTGGGCGGGTCTTCAACATCAGCCTGAGCCTCGGGACCGTCGGCCATGCTCCTGAAATATCACACCGTCAACCTGAAACCGGCGCTGCCGCAGCCTTTTCACCGAATACGGGATATCAAAACGGTCTAGAGCAGACAAGACATATGGGAGATAAACAAACGTGACCGTGTTGGTGACGACGGTCCTCTGCGCTACTTCCTGCTCCGCCGGAGCGTCTGCGCTTAAAGGGGAAACGCAACCGAGTTTGGACACTGACCAACAAACTGAAACCATTTTCTCTGGTTTTAACACTTTGTCAAAGGCAGAGAAGTGACCAAACCCGTAGATAAAAATAAACAAATGGGAAAACGTTTTGAGAAATGTATTCTCTCTTTAATAGTGGAAAATACTGTACTGTGTTTACATAAACCAGGTCTCTCTCTCTCTCTCGGGAGCCAGACATACAAAAATACACCGTGTGCAACTGGAAACGACCCATAATGTACACAGCAAACCATGAATTTAAAACGTGTCTATGTCATTATAAAACTACATCACTGCAGTAATGAAACTGCTGAGAGTGATGTTAAATTTCCCACTAATGAACAGCCTAGTCAGAATGGACAGACCACCGTGTGTGGTGTGTTATGAAACATAGCTGTCATTCATGTCATTCCATGTGACACAGCAACAGGCTAAATAACTTCTGAAGAGTGGTCCGACCGGACCATGTGCACTGGTGTCACACGGTGACATTCCGTTTATTTCCATTATGTTTCCGGTACAGTCAGTATTTAACAGACATCATTCTACTGCTGGAATTATTAGGTATAGCTAGTAAAAACAACTGATGAGGCGGCCTATTCTCTCAGAAACAGGACATGCTTATAATATGCTGACAGAAATTAGCAGCCCATTTTCATCTTTTATTAAAAGTGTGAGCAAGACTCCGTGTGTATTTGACCTATTTACAGTCAAACGTGTCAGTGGTGCACTTTATTTGGAGACATTTAGCGTTAACTTTTACATTCTGACGTCTTTATTGGCTCAGCTGCCAGTGATGACACGGCGGCTCCAGTAGCTCTACTTACAACAAGCCGCCGGGCCCTGCTCGCTCGTCTCATGCTCAGGTCTCTTTGCTCCTTTGCTCATCGTCACACACAGCAGCTGTTCGCTATCTGCGCACTGAGCGTCAGCCAACAAGTCCGTTTTCTTTTCCTGTCGTTCCTCGTCTTCTTTCTGTCTCTCCAAGTTTCATTTGTTCGCACACGCAACTTTGCAGGTGTGAAGGTAAACAGCTCTCACTGCAATTCCGGCTTTCACCGGCGGTGTCGCTGCAGCTTAGATGGCCTGTTGAATATCCGTGTCGGTTGTTTAATGTTTAATTCACGAACTTGATGAAGTCAGCGCCCGAGAGAGAGAGAGAGAGAGAGAGAGGCGCACGCACACACACACACACACAGAGAGGGAGAGAGGTAGGTAGGTACTTTATTATATATGCAAGAACAGGCTCAATGATTAACTACACGGACTATTGTGGGTGTGGTGTATATTTTGTAACCATTCTTTAATACATCACTGGTGTG